GGGGGGGGGGGGGGGGGGGGGGGGGGGGGAGGGAGAGTGGGGAAAGAAGAAACAGACAAAAGTAACAATCGCTATCGTTAAAACAGACAACCGCTAAAACGATGCAAGCCAAGTAAAAGTGATGAAACAGATAAAAGTAGAACGCCCTCTGGCAACTATGCAAGTTTCCGCATAACGGTGGGCGCTCTATACGTGGAGAGCACTAAGCGTGACGTGGCATATCCCAAAACATGCTTAGTTTCCATCTAAGACGTGGATTTTTATACGTGGAAATCCCTACGCGACTTTTACTGGCGCGTAATTTTTCGTACGTGGAACATGCAAATTTTTTAGCGGGAAAGCAATAGATGGGAATTTTAGAGCTTTCCTGGTACCCGAGTTAGCAATTTCCCCCCTAGAAATTTCATACACTCTTACGTGAGTGTCACGTACATCTGGGGACTGAGTTTGAAATCTTTAGCTAGTACATGCACAGAGAATATTCCTACAAAGTTTCAACCCCCTAGCTCGTGTAGTTCCCGAGAAAAAAAAGCTAGCTAGAAAGCTAAAATTTTTGGGGGAATATCCTCTATCCAAGTACAACTCAAATATTTCAAGTTCACTCCCAGGTATGCATGGTACTCACGTAAAGGCGTGTGAAAGTTTCTGCAGGAAAATTACTAACTCGGCAACCAGAAGAGCTGGAAGACCGAAATTTCAGGCGGATGTTCCCTGTCCACGTGCAACTTAAAAATTCCAAATTCAGTTTTCCAAGCACATGGAGTACCCAAGTACAGGTATGTGAAGGTTTTGGCGGGAAAACTGCCAACTTGGTAACCTGAAAAGCTGGAAAGCTAAAATTTTGGGGAATGTTCCCTGCCCAAGTGCAACTAGGTATTTCAGATTCACTTTGAGGTATGCATGGTACTCAAGTACAGGCACTTAAAGGCCTTGGCGAGAAAATTTCTCACTAAACAACTAGGCTACTTTTAAAGAACGACTGGTAAATGGAAAGTGTACAATTACTTTCCAAAATTTATGGTGATTTATGCCAGTGACCGCAAAAGGTAGGTGTAAAGCAAAGCCATTCATGCAGTTAATGACCTGAGTACTTCAAGTCTAGTGGGAAAACGCATGACCGCACGGGCCCGCCCAGTGCGTTCCAGCCTGGGTTGGAAATGACCCAGCTGTTCAATGAGTATTTTTTCCGCCAAAAGTTTAAGTGCGCGTACACGAGAACCACACGTGAGTGGAGGCTGAATTTGAAATCTTTAAGTTGTATTTGGACGGAGAATATTGTCCTAAAATCTTGGCCTTCCAGCTTTTCTGGTTCTCGATTTAGCAATTTTCCCGCCAAAACTTACACAGGGCCGCACGTGACTTGGGAGCTTACCCGGGGGCTGGGTTTGGAATCTTTAAGTTGCATGTAGGCTAGGAAAATCCCATTAAAATTTCGGCCTCCCAGCTTTCCTGGTTTCCGATTAACCATTTCTGGCCAAAAAAGTTTTACGGGGCCGTAAGTGGTAACCGCGTATGCCCTGAGGGCTGAATTTGATAAGTTTAAGTGTTACGACGAGGGGATGATGCGCGATACGACGACGAATTTTTCGCAGATTATTCGGACGAGGATACGACGAGCTTCGGTCGAGTCTTGGATGAATGCCGATTTGCTGTTTGCGCTTAGTGGAGAGACTAGAACAAATAAACAAACTTTATCAACATCAGTACAAGTTGAGTACTTAGGGCGACGGGACCAAGTCGGACGATTGCAGCGACAGCCGCTGCAGACGAAGAATGCCGATCACTGGATTGCATCAACACACTGCTGCAACTGAACATTGGACGCCAAATACGGAACACAGGGCGCAAGACATTGAACGACGAATACTGAACACTGGACGATGAACACGGCACATTCTAAAACACTCAACAAATTTACAGGCTTAAATACTCATCACAACGGGCGGGACAGATCACAGGTCAATCTGCTGCGCGATTTTGGGTTGCACTTTGCTTCTTCTGCGCGTTATCTTTTGCTCGCTGTACATAAGTCGTACTTGGGCTGAAGACATCTCCCGAAAATTTCAGCCTCCCAGCTTTGCTAGCTCCCGAGTTAGCCACTTTTCCGCCAAAAAATTTCACGGGGTCTCACGTGATAAACCCTCGTATCTCTGGGAGCTGAATTCGATGATTTTAG